TTCTTCGCCTTGCTCGCAACAGCTCTCGACCAGTGATCATACACGACTGTCTCGGTAAATTTCTACAACTATGAGGCATTATAGATTGAAGGCTAGCTATGACTATTAGTAATATCCGTTTCAGTGGTTGTAATGAATCAATACTCAAACTTGTAGATTATATGAACGGTCTGAATCGTTTGGTTGCAGGTATTTCGCGTGCAGCATGTGTAGTTGCGACTGAATTGGCGATCTGTAGCATTATCAGAGGTCCTACTTACAAGGTAGATTTGTTGCAAACTTGCGTTGTAATGGATTTTATAATTTTTGGGCTAAATATGTTTGCGTTTCTCTTTAGCATCCAATTCAAAAGGCGGTTCATTTCCTTCGTCTCCAACGACCGTTCTCCGTGGAAACTCCCATGCAATTCATTTTCATTCATCGATGTGTTCAGAAATTCTTCAGCAAAGTCTCAGGGCAAGTACGGGGCATGGAGGAGGACTATCAGAAGTAGGCGCTTTTACCTTTACAGTTTTACAATTTTCTAATACTCGTTCTTGCCAGATGGCTGACAGAACGGGCAGGGCGAATGTTTCTGGATAATCTCGACTCAGCGGTATGTTTCTAACTTTGTCAGTATTTAATGACCCGATCGTTTTGTTTTTTCTTCAAAGGATTCTTCTAAGGTTCCTGGTTATCGACTGCTGTCTCCTCGCGTTGATCCAGACCTTGTTGAGGCTTGTGCGGCGCCCACCGAGGCCAAATACTCGAAGGTCTGATGGCTCATACACATTTGAATTTCGCTTCTTGCTGGAATTATCGTTTACAGAGAAGCTCCTGATTGCGTTGGAGAACTGCCAATTCCTCTGAATCCGTCGAATGTACTTTCGCATGCTAGAAGAGCACTGGAGACTTGAACCAGTATTGTTCTTATTCAGAGAAAATCTATTCTTGTAAATATGAACATCTTAACGATGCTGTAACAAATATTAATCCTTGAGTTCGTGCATGTACATAAAGTTGTATTTCTATATGCAGTATTCTGGTATAGTATTCTCACACTGTTTCTGTAAACACATGTTTTCGCAGTCCGATATTATAGCGTTGATTTTTTCTTTTTCTTTTTTTATTTTCCGAAGTCCTGGCTGTTTCTGAATATTAGTGTTTTATCTTTTCCTTTACCCAGCCTGGCGGAGGTGTCGTAGTGGCAAGTAGCACGTTTACCACGCGTACGGTGCATTCAAATCTCGGATCGGCTCCTTCCAAAGCCAAGCAAGCCTTCTATCTCCGGGGACTATAAATTGGTCCTAGATTCGCTGCCTGGATAAGAACACTTACTATCGCAAATCATTGCATAGGTCACATCGCTTTCATCAACAAGCCACTTGGAATCTGAATGGAACTAGAATCAGAGTACAGCATCGTGATGTGTGAAATGGTGGTGCCAGTACGCCCCCCCCCCCCCTTCCCAAACACCCAACACCTATCTACCAATTTCCTAATTTTCCATCTTCCACCCTAGAATTTTTCGTCGAGCGGGGAGGGGGATACAGCCAATGTAAAACGGGAAAATTTCTAGAATTATCCTCAACTTCCTACCTTTTCCTTACTTTTCCTATTTCCCTACTTTTCTCCAAAGCTTTGGTTGTCGAAGGAGGAGGGGGTATATGTACAGTACAGGTGAAAGGAAAAATTACGCAAAAATTCAACAATCGGGAAATTTTTTTCCCAACGCAGCAAATTTCTCTTGAACCAACATAACCCCCTCTCCCCCAGCGGAAAAGTATGACCCTCCTATGTGTCTCACACAACGGTGCTGCACCCTGACTAGAATTCGTGTCGCATCCCAAAAGGGACTGTTTGACGGTGGAGACTTCATCCTCTATCCTTTTATCGTTTACTTTCTATTTTTATTCTGCAGATATTCACTGTCCTTTTCTGCACCAACGATGTGGTTCAACGCCACTCTTTTAGAATTCCAGGGACCAAGAAAGATTGGATGTCACTCTCGAAAGTTTTGTGGTCAACGTAGGAATGTGAGCTACGTGAGATATGTTTAAATCCGCTGCCGTGAGGATAGGGCATTGGGAGGGGCGACAAAAAAAATCACTAGTGGCGCGCACGCGGTGCGTGCCAAGCAATGTATAGGTTGCGATGGATGCGGCGAAAGTCTGGACACTGGCAGGTTCTGCGATCCCTGCGATTTGATGGGATAGCTTTCTATCAGCCAATGTTCGCCTTCAACCAGTAGCGTCGGAGCGTACAGTGATAGATCTTATTGGTAATCACACTGGAATGAGCATACCTCTTGAGAATTGTTCCACCAAGTCTTGTCCTAGTGCTGTTAATCAGTCATTACTCGCTGCTTATTGCCTTCCCCTCTTGTCCTACACTAGCATTCATCGGCGAAGTGCTAGGATGTTCATTCGAGATTACGGTAGTACAGCGCTTTTCGCGTTTCCTTTTGCTGGGGAGGCGGTCGGATGGCGTGCCCGCCAGCTGTCATATTGTTTCTGGGACGCTGCTGGCCGTAATTGCCACCTCCACCGAGCCCCTGCAGCCGTTCTCTTGGATCGGACAACTCGTCCAAGCCACTTATCACCTTGATTCTCGTAATTGATTGACCAACACTGGTAGGACGCCAACGTAGACGCTGAATTGCGAACTGATGACGTGACTTCACACGAAACTATGCTCTTATAGCAAGCACCTTGTAAGCTCCTCGTAATTCTAAGTCTAACCAAGAGTCGTTGGCCCAGATCATGTTCGAGACCTTCAACGTACCAGCCATGTACGTCGCCTTTCAAATACTGCTTTCCCCCAATGTCTCCGGACGTATCATTGGTGTCGTTTTAGACTGCGGATATTTCACTCAGACTGTACTCATTCATAGAGAATTTACTTCTCCCCAGGCTATCTATCGTCTACATCGTCTGGGAGAGGTCTTACGGAGTGTTTAATGAGGATCTTGCTGAACGTTCCTACTACACCACAGAGCAGAAATGGCGCCGTTCAAAGATAAACCCACGCGCAATTATTGCTATGGTGGCTCTTGAATCGATGACTTTCATATCCACAGTCGTTGCGTCCCCCTCTCCAGAAACAAACTGTGCACTCTGTGGATCTTGGCCCTCGTCAAGTGTGAGGTGAGTAGATCTGCAGCTGCAGTATCGTGCCATTTTCTCTGGTCAAAAGTGAATAGGAACGAGGATGGAGGGTCTCCATCCGCGTCGCATCACGGACAGACCTACGCCTAGCCACAGCTAGACGTGCTACTTGTCTGCGCAAACTCATGAGTGTGTACACCGCTGCGAAATTTTGCTATCGGCGCAAGCTCTGCACATTGAGGATTACGCGGGCGCACTGCCCTACATCATCGTTCCCATGCACTGTTGAGCGGAGAAATGGCACGGTGCTGCAGCTGCGGACCCATTCACCACATGGAAAAGCCCTGTAAATGAGTGCACAGTTTGTCTATAATGAGTCCTCCGGTTTTCCTGATGGTCAGCTATCACTGTCGGGAACGAATGCTTCCACTCCGTCCAGTTCTTTTCCGGCCTTTCTTCTTAGGTGTGGACTCTGGAATACATGTTACAGCTCTATTGTGATATGCATTATCAAAGTTCACAAGGAATTGCACTATATTATCCGGCGGATTCACCATGTGTCTTGGTATCGTCAACTGCTTGCAGAAGGGACCTATTCTTTTGACTCCTGCAGAAGTCAAGGTCAAGGCAAAAGTCAAGGTTATTGCTCCACTTGAAGGCACGTAGCATTCAGACTTCGCGATGACCGCATCGACGCGGCACCATTACAGTGGTGCTCCAATGCCATAGACGGGAATGCAGCCATAGACGGGTACACCTAGCCTCCTGTTGTCCTATACTCTCTCGAAACACTAGCGGCCGGCGCCGATCGACCCCCGTCTATGACTGCGTTCCGTCTAGGGAGACAGTCTTTATAACAGGCGACGTTGCGTCGCGGGGCAACCTGCAAACATCGCGGGCTTGCAAACATGGGCATATCATAGTTGGGGATTCCTCAACAAGGGGGATCGTAGTCAGTGCCGAACAGCGCAAAGGTGTCAGTGTGCTGAAACCTGTATAGGGAAACTAGCTTTGTAGAAAACCCGCGTATGTGAACAGTGCGATCTAATCAATTGAGCTAGAGCTGTGAGCTAATCTATAATTAACCACATATATTAACAAGTTGACATAATTTCGTAAGTACTCAGATGACTAAACAGTACAGCTTATACTCTGGTTCGCTGCGGATGATGGGGCGTGTCGCGCGACGCGCTTGGCGCGGCACCACCTGTTTTTTTTTCGACAAACGACAGGACTACCATATCGTT